CTATGATTTCCTCCAATGATGGCTATTAATTTGTTGTTGATGAGGAGGTCTTGGTTGATAATTTGTCCTTTGATTCGGCGCATACATGTAATTTGGGTGGTATCGTCATCCCGAATTATAAGTATTACTATATGAGTTGTATGGTCTTTGTGGAGGGCCTGGAATGTTTCTTATGGCATTGATTTATGCATTGCCTCCTTCTTGTATCATCGGGCAGTAGTCTGTCGGAAAGTCCAGCTTCGTGCATATCCCATATGCTCTGTTACTCCAGATTTTCCTGCAACAAGTGAGTTAACTACTTCAATTAATTTTCTAATTTATTTTCAATGGAAAAAGTACTTATCTCGTGAACCCGTCGGTTGGGTTCACTTGAAAACTATTGAGAGTTGGCAGTCATGGTTGAAATCAACTCTCTCGCTGTTGTTGGGGTCATGTTGACTAATGCTCCTCCGCTAGCGACATCTACCATTTTCATCTCTATAGGTAAAATACCTTCATAAAAATATTGAAGTAACGTTTGCTCACTTAATACGTGTGTGGACAAGTTGCGCAAAGCTTTTTAAAACGTTCCCAATAGTAATAAAGACTTTCTTTGGTCTTTTGCTTAATGGAGAGAATGCTCCTTCGCAACTCGCTTGCATTAGCCACTGGGAAGAACCTGTCAAGAAAAATTCAACTCATGTCAGCCCATGAATTAACTGAATTTAGAGGTAAATAAAATAACCAATCTTTAGCCAAGTCAGCTAAAGAATAAGGAAAGCTCTCAATTTAATTTGATCTTTGGTAACTCCATATGGTTTCATGCTAGTGCAAACCATGTGGAATTCCAATAAGTGTTTGTGCAGATTTTCATTGGGGAGGCCATGGAAAGTGGGAAGAAGATGAATAAGTCCCGTCTTTAATTGAAATGGAGTCCCGCCATTAGGAAAAATGATGCATAATGGCATCTAATGAAAGCAGCTGCAGCTAGCTCTCGAATCGTTTGTTCTTCTTCGCCATCGAGTTTTGATCTTCCTTATATGCGTCTGTTTCAGAGTTTGTCTCTGGATTTGATTTCGTTTCTAAACTATGTTCTTCTTCCTTTTCCTTTTTTTCTTGAAGCGTTTGTGTGTGGATTCTTCTTGCTTGTTCTTCGATCTCGGGTTAAGATCTACAAATTCTCCCGGGTTTCTTCTGGTCAAAAATTAAAAACAAAGAAAAATAAATCAGTAGTTGCCGTTAGTCCCCGACAACGACGCCAATTTGACAAGCATCGTTTTTACGTCAAAATAATTCCTTAATCCCAAAAGAAATATATAAAAAAATATAGCAAGTGGAAAGTAAGGGTCGATCCCACAAAGACTACAGTTTCTGATTTAATTATCTTTTTGTTTTTGAACAGTAGAGCTTTGATAGGGATGAAATTCAAGATTAAAAATAAATAAATATAAAAATATAAAAATAAACGTGAAATAAGAATAAGATAAAATAAGGGGATTTTGAAAGACTGTTTGAAAATAAGATAAAGACAAATAAAATAGTAATTTGAGTTTGAAAAGAAGATTTATTGTGAAAAGTAGCCTCAGGCTTCTACTTTAACTTAGTTTCCTTGGATCATCGAAATAGATCTTTACTTCAGAATTCACGCTGGTTACTTGTCTACAAGGACAAATCCTTGTGACTATGTTTTGTATACCGAATACCAAATGCAATCTTTAATATCGGTTTATGAATTGATCTAAGCAGCAACAATGTTGTAGATCTAAAAACTTTAAGGCTCGAAAAGCTGCTGACTTGGATTATGGTGTTTTAACAATAACTGATTTCGATCTCAATTTCTTCTTAGCAAACAATTTTGCTAAGTGTGTTCCCAGGAAGTTGAATGTGCTTCAATAAGTCGATCATTCCTCCCACATTAACCATAACAACATCCAGACCAACGTCAACTTTTGGTTTTGAAAATTGTTTTGATTTTAAAATAAGCCCATAAAACTGAGAGAGATATCCGAAGTGATTTTAAATGCCTTACAATTATCACGTTTGGAATTGAGCCATCACTTTAGCCTTCGGCTTTAAAGAAAATTAGCCTTAGCATATTTGAAAATAAAAATAAAACAAAGAAGAACTTTGAAAAAGAAAAGAAAAACTTTTATTAAAAACTAGAGAGAAAAATAAGAGTAAATTCTCAGTTGTTGAGATATATGTTTCTAGGTTTACCCTGAGAGAGTATTTATAGACTTCAAAATCCTGTAAAGATAATTCCTAAAATAAAGAAATAAATCCTAATTAAAATACTTAAAACTATTTAAACTAAAATACCTAAAAAAGATAAGATAAAATATAATATTTAAAATAATATCCTAAAACATAAGTTTAAATCAAATCTAAATTGCAAAAACGTGCGACTGGTCCATTCGTTCTTCTAGAAGCGCTGACTGGACCTTCTAGAAGGTGTTGACATCATCGCCACGTCAGATGCATCATGCCCACTAAAACAACTTTGATTCCAAAAATAAAAAACTACAGATTCTGTCCTTTTATTGCAATTACCAGAATCTAGTGTCCTACATAGAAAATGAATCAAAACAAACAAATAAGCCACAAAAACCAATGATTAAGGAATAATTTAAAAACAAAATATTAACCAAATAAAACACATATCACAAACTGACTCAAAGAACCACCCGTTCTTAAGGCCCAACTAGCTAGTAGGGTTGTAAATGAGACGAGACAGATCGCGAGCTACTCGAGATCGACTCGATCAAGGCTCGATAAATACTCGGATCGAATGGACTCGACTCGAGCTCGACTCGAGTTCTTAACGAGCCGAAACGAGCTACTCGATATTCGACTCGAAAAGCTCGTGAGAAGCTTGAAAAAATGTTATATTATAATTTTAGATTTTTTAAAATTACATTATTAAAAATACACTTTATATTAAAAATTCTATAATATAACTACCCTCAAATTTATTTTTTAATTAACCAGCCTAAGTTCAATTGTTACATTGTATATTACTAAAAGAAAAATAAAAGCCCATATAATTAAGCACATGTTAGATTACACGTGTTTGGTTGATTTTTTTCTTTCTTTTTAACTTTTTACTGCACAAGTACTTGACAACGTAGAAAAAATAATAAAAATAACCAAACAATAGAAAATTTGAAAATGGTTAAAAATTATTTTTGAATAAATATTCTTATATTTATTTCAAATTAATAAAAAATATTTATCTAATGACAAATATTTAATATATTTCTAATGATAATATTTTTAATAACTAATTTTTTAAATTGTTGTTATATTTTGAGATTTCGGGTTCAAATATCATAAATATCAAGAGTTTGAGCATTTAATATCAATATACTATATTGTACTTACCTCATAAATCGATACCAAGTCGATTAATTAATGTATTTGTAATGAATCCTAAACCCTAAACCCTAAACTTAAACCATAAAGCATAAACTCTAAACCCTAAACTATAAACTCCCAAACTGATAATGAACATTTTAGCTGTTTTTTTACTATTTTGACTAACCATATTTCCTTATTGGATTTTGACTAACCATAAACCCTAAACTCCCAATTTGAAGAATGAACATTTTAATTATTTTGACTAATCATAAACCCTAAATTTAGTATTCCTTATGAAGAATGCAGAATATTATTGAGCAAAAATCACACTATTCATGATGTAGGAACATAATTACATAATACAGTTTGAGGTCTCAGTCACGTGGCATGTGGTCATGGATTCACATGGATTTTTAAACCTTTTTATTTACAAAATTACGAACATCAAAACCTTTGTATTCACATGGTAATAGGGAAAAGGAAATGGGAACAAATTAAACTTGAGAAAGTCTACATGTAGGATACTGCTTTAATGAATTTGTCACCAACATCAAAACCTCTTGTCTTTCATTAAGAAGCAACATAAGACCAAGATATCCAATCCTCTTCTCTGGAAATCCAGAAGATGCAACCAGCTTCAGGCACTCCATTTGGCCAAAATGCGTGGGATACCCAAGCATGTGAATTAACATGAGTTTTCCAGGTTACGGTGCCTATAGTCATGATTATTTTCAAGAATTGCTGCACGAATAGCAGCACATTCTTTCCTTACAACAGCACGTTCTTCTGCTGCAGTTTTGCAAGCACATATAGCCCGTATCATGTCCCTGCATTGGAACAGTAAGTTCAACAACTTCAATTAATAAGCACATAATCTACATTTAAGTCAATCATTTAGATTCTTTATTTGGCAAACCTGGTTACAGGACAGGCATAGACATGGGAAAACCTGGTTACAGGACAGGCATAGACAAGGGAATCAGTAAAACAGAAGTGAATTTTCGAAGGTTACTTGCAGCTGCACTCCAACAAAAAAATCATGCTAAACTCATTCATGTATGTCCTTCCATTTTTTGCAGTGAGACCATGTCTTTTTCTTCTCTCGGCCATCAAAGATCTGAGAGAAACAATACCATATACTTCCAACAAACCATTGTTTTGCAGGTAGGGTCTTGTTTAGATCAAAATTCACTGCTATCTTCTGTCTACAGTCCTCAGTTTAGACCAAAATTTTCTTTTCTGTCAACTTTCGTTTCCCCCTCATTTTTGGCATCAATCTCATGGTTGGATTTCCATCTCAATAGAATTTCATCTGAGTTTTATAAAGAAGGTCCAATTTGCAGGAATGCAAAGGGTATTGTAAAGAGTAGGGGAACGATGATGAAGTGATAACAGAGACTACGAACAGCTTCTCGTTTTCCTCTTCTTCTGCTATGCTACTTCAAAGTACAAAGATTAAGTGAAAACAATTAACAATGTCATCGATGTTTAATGAAAACCAATTAACAATGTCATCGAAGTTGTAAATTATGCGTTTCTTTCATGAAGAATCGAGCTCCCATTCAGAACTCCAAAGCCTTTTGAATTTATATCCCACACCGGACGCTGAAGAGAGTTAAACTGGAGAGCAATATAAAAGGAGTGGACTACCGCTTATGTTAATTATATATTTCTTGGCCTTTTGGCTAAGATCTAGTATCTGTTTATTAGTTTAATATTTGATACGTAGGCTAATGGCTTACACGATATTAAATTTATTTTTTGAGTGTGAAAACCTTTCATAGTAGCTTGCTTCAGGGGAGGATCAAGCTTCAATCGAGCTCAAAATCGAATTTAATCGAGTTCGAGTCTCGAGCTTTAATTGACCTCTTGAATTTTTTTTTAATTTGAGCCTTTTTGAGTTCGAGTTGAGTTTTAATAATATATGTTGAGTTCGAGTCGAGTTTGATAATTTTTAGCTCGCGAGTTTTCGAGTCGAGTTTGCTCGTCGAGTTTTCGAGTCGAGTCGAGCTTACTCTTATAGTTTTCGAGTTCGAGTCGAGCTCAGTAATACTCAAGCTCAACTCGGCTCGTTTACACCCCTACTAGCTAGTGTATAAGCAACACGATTATATTCATGATTTACAAATGCAACATAAAAAGAAGGATGGTCCTGTAGAATCGCTCTAGACTCCTGCATGTACATTCTCAAAGTTGAAATATAGGTAGAAGCCATTTTAATATTATGCACTAACATCAAGGAATCAGTCTCAAACTAAACATTCGTCTAACCCATATCACAAGCAAGTCGAAAACCCACAAGCAAGGCATGAAATTCCATGAATCCCGCTTCAAAAATACGAAAAGTAGGTTGTGCCAAGCCTCCACACACCTTCCCATTCCGATCACGAGCCACAACACCAACAGCTACCACCGGATAAGCAACATCCAAGGCTCGATCCACATTAACTTTAATCACCCCTGCAATTGGGGTTTTTCATCAGTTAAAGACCACATTCGAAGACAATCCAGAAGCTACCTTACCATCGAAACCATGATGCAACCTCCCTACTTCAAACGAATGTAAATAGTCACGATGAAGCATTTTTGCATTTGTAATCAGAACCCAAGGCAGTTGCAACCTATTAGAATGAATAAAAGAGTTCCGATTATTCCAAATATTCCATAAAATAATAAAAAAATCTGCAAAATAATTACAACCTAGAATTGAAAAAGGCTTCCTCAAGCCACCTTAAGGAAGTAGTCGTGTAACTCAAGAAGACATGAGCCAAAATCTTAGCTAGCCAAAGAACCTCAACCATTCGTGGATATTGAAGAGATGATAAAGACAGCACATATTATTGAAGTAAATCACACTAATTACAGAGTAAGGCTGGTGTTTATATACAATACACTCAGCTCAATAACTGCTCTATAACAGAGTAACCTTTCTTTAACAGCTCAACAACTTCCTAACAGTTTCTTAACACCTATTGCCACCATGGCATAGCAATACGACTCACTTCTTCCTTCATTCTGCTAACATTCTTCCTACTTTTTCTTGTCCTCCAAACTAAACTTGACATACACATATCTTGGACCAAAATTCTTCAAATGCAGCTCGTGCCAATGGTTTAGTGAATCCATCGGCTATTTGATGCATGGCTGGAATATAGTTAACCGTTAGTTGGTCTGCTGCAACTTTCTCGCGCACAAAGTGGACATCAAGGTCGACATGTTTACATTGTGCATGGTATACTGGGTTTGCGCTCATAGCCACTACATTGGTGTTATCACACCATACAATCGGCTTATGGCTTTGACAGATACCAAGGTCCGATAGAAACACCTGAACCCGTGTAATGTCAGCAGCTGTGTATGCTACACTCTTGTATTCAGCCTCCATCGTTGAGCGTGAGACTGTTCTTTGTTTTTTTGAGCACCAAGTAACAAGGGACTTGCCAAAAAACACCCCGTAACCAGTGATGGAACGCCTGTCATCAATGTTGGCTCCCCAATCTGCATCCGCAAAGGATGTTATGTCTGATCCATGAACAGCAGGTGAAAACACAAGTCCAAAATTAAGCGTGGATGATAGGTAGCGTAGTATCCGCTTTACTGCAACAAAGTGAGTCTCCCTTGGTGCATGCATATGTTGAGCAACCTATCCAACACTGAATGAGATCTCAGGCCTTGTATGGAAAATATACAAAAGTGAACCAACTATACTTCTGTACTCGCTGGCATTCTGAACTAGTTCACCCTCCTCATGAGAGAGTTTAGGAGACACTACCATAGGTGTAGCACAACTTGATGCATTCCCCATTCTAGTTTTTCAAGTAATTCAACCACATATTTTCTTTGACTTAATATGATGGAATTGTTGAGACATTTGACCTCAATTCCCAAAAAAAGCTTAGCTCCCCAAGGTCCTTTAGCGAAAACCGATCCTACAACATCGAGACAACTTTTTGTACAGCATTAGAATCTTAACCTGTGATCACTATATCATCCACATATACAAGAGCATATACAAAGCTGTCATGTACATGTTGTACAAATAAGGATGAGTCTGCTCGAGAGACTACAAATCCTATCTGCAGTAGGTTGTCCTTAAGTTTCGAGTGCCAATTGTGAGGCGCCTGTCAAAGATCATAAAGCGCCTTCTTCAGTTTACACACAAGTGGTTGAACAAGTTCATCATTTTGCTCAAATCCAGGGGGTTGCTGCATGTACACCTCCTCACTCAACTCTCCATTGAGAAAGGCATTGTTGATATCAACATGCTTGAGTTTCCACCCACTGGAGACTGCTATGGCTAGAATTGAGTTGAATGTTACAAAACGGACTGAAGGTGTCCTTGAAGTTCTGGCCTGGAATTTGTGAGAATCCTTTGGCTACTAGGCGTTCTTTATACCTATTTATCGATCCATCAGGATTGTACTTGACACGAAAAAGCCATTTACATCTCACAGCCATCCTGTTCTTGGGAAGTTTAACTAAAGTCCATGTGCCATTGTTGAGTAGAGCATTGTATTCATCGTGTACTGCTTTAGCCCAGTGAGGTGATTGAAGAGCAGTATCAATTGTAGTTGGAATCTCATCATCCAATCTGATTGAATATGCTTTAGGTTTGAAGACGCCACACCGCTGCGTGTCATCATATGATGAACACGAGTTTGAGAAGCATTATCAGTAGGCTCAGAGGGCACAGGAACAGTATAGGACTCAGGGATATTAATACATGATTCAGTTACACCACCTTGTAGGCCATCACCTGATATATTGTCAGCATCTACATCTACATCTATATCTCCAGTAGAAGCAGTTTCTTCTGGCTGAGCATCAGAAGAAACATGTGGCAACGTGTCTGCAGGGATTTGTTGAGATACATTGTTGTCCATTTCAACTTCATTGGGAGCCACTGTACCATCATATTCTTCATGTATTGCGGTAGTATTGGGCGAAGACTGAGCACGTGAGTTTCTGGCTGATGTAACAACTCGCAGAGACTGAGTATGAGTTATGGAGTTGCCTGTTGAGTTTAAGTGATCACAACTACTTTTCCCTGCAAACGGAAATATAGACTCGTTAAACACAACATGACAAGAAATATATATACGTCCATCATTTGCCAAGCATTGGAACCCCTTGTGCTGAGGGCTAACTCCAAAGTAAGTGCACACTTGTGACCTGAATGACAATTTGTGTTTTTGAAACATCTTCAAATGAGGAAAGACATCCAAAAACCTTCATCATAGTGTAGTCAGGTTTCTTTCCAAAGAGCTTTTCAAATGGTGAAGCATTTTGTAGAACTTTAGTAGGCTGTCGATTAATTAAATAAACTGTATGAGTGACTTCATATGACCAATACTTGATTGGTAAACAAGCTTGAGCTAGTAAAACCAAAGCCAGCTCGACAATGTGTCGGTGTTTTCTCTCAACTACACCATTCTGCTCAGAGGTGTGTGGACAAGTGAGTCTGTGCACAATGCCTTCTCGAGCTAGTAAGGGCGAAACACTGCGAAACTCTCCACCCCAGTCTGTTTGTAGTGCTTTTATGGTGATGCCAAATTGATTTGCTACAAATTTCTGAAATAATTGGAATGCTATGTATGTTTCACCTTTGTTTTCAAGAGATAAATCCATGTGTGACGTGTATGCGCGTCAACAAAGGAAATATAAAACTTAAACCCATTCGAAGACACGTGTGGGGTCCCCGTAGATCAGAATATACAAGTTCAAACGAGGATGCTGTCATTGTATTTGAGTTACAAAAAGGTAACTTGTGGTTTTTTCCTAAATGACATGCCACACATTCTTTATTTACATGAGAATGAACTGGAAAGCTTAGCTCAGAAGCTATTCTTGCTAGAGTTTCAGCTGTTGGGTGGCCAAGTTCTGTGCCATAACTCATCTAATGGGGTTGATTCCAATTCAGCATTTGTTTGTGCTACATGAGCTTGTAATGATTCTTTATTCATTGCAAATGAGTATAGGCATCAGTTTATCTCCTTCAAGCAGCATTTGTCCAGTAGCCTCGTCTCGAACGCAACAACGATTGGCATGAAATTCAATGAAAACGTCGTTATCCCTAGCAAGCTTTGAAACTGAGAGTAGATTCTTTGTTATTTTGGCACATGCAACAAGTTATTCAAGAAAAGTATACGTGAAGAAGTATTGACTTGAGCATGGCCAATCAAGGCAACATCAAGGGGCATTCCATTTCCAATTAAGAGCTTACCTGGACCTAGATATTCAGAAGAGTTTAGCACTTTATTAGCATCTGCAGTAACATGGTGCGTAGCTCCTGTATCAACCACCCAACGCTCAGATTGCACAGAAGTAGTGTGGGCTTATGGTTGATCATCTGCACCTGAATTATTCATTTTCTTTGCACAACACTCACAACCTTCATCAGCAGGTGACATTGTATAAGTGCCAGAAGAAGATGCAGCTTTGTATTCAGACGAATATTGGCCTTGCTGAACAGAAGGAGTACAGGAGAAATCTTTATCATATATGTGCCAACATCGATCAACCAGGTGGCCAATCTTTCCACACAGTTGGCACTAAACCCTGGGCCTACCACGACCTCTACCACTGGACCGAGGGTTATATGAGTAACCAGTCCTTTGATTAGAACTGTTGTGCACCATTGAGTTATTTTTTACTTCACCTTGTGCAAGATTTGCAGCCATAGGCAACATTTCAAGCTGATCGTCGAAACTTTCTAATTGAGTTTCTACATCAAGTAGCATTGTAGAGATGTCGTCTAAAGACATGGTGTCCCTCATTGAGGTGATGATCGCCATGAACGGCTGATACTCTCGAGGGAGTCCTTTCAAAATTCTAGCAATCTGTTCAGCTTGAGGAATTATGCT